TATTGTCTAGAAAGCTATTGCAGGTCAAGCTGGTCTCTGGTTACTGGTTTTAATTAATTCTCTGTAGAAGAGCTTTTATTCCAGCGCAGTCATTTCTTCCCCTAAATATTACTTGGTTACATATGGAAAATATGTCCTTTGGCACAATTAATTTTGAAAGAGTAGGAGAAACTATTCTAAAATTTCGCTTAGCAAGCAAAGGGAGGACACTCAGCGTAGGCCCAGGAAATACAAGGGGAAAATGTTTTCACTATTATTATTGCAACCCTTGCTTCACCGTACTGGAAAACGAGCTACAAAAGTACTGTGCTAGCTACCGCTTTAGCTCAGGAAAGCTGAATCTGGTCAACCTCATTACACAGCTCATGGTTTATTGTTTTAACTTGCATAAATACTATAAACTATATGGTATAACTAGGAATGCATACACAACTTTACAGTCATTAGCAGCACAGAGAAACAGCTTTCAGCATACAACCAGAAACCCAATCAAATAAGTTATTTTCACCTGATTACCCTCTAATAGAAAACACTCTTCATTGTATTTTAACCCCATATCTGTGCAGATGCAACAGATTAAACTTACCTCAACTGATTTTGCACTGCCCACACTTAGACCTCCAGGCTCGTCCCAGATGTTACATGCCACATGATATCGCATGTGATACAGCAGGTGGCATGCTAATGGTCGTATTTATAAGTCACAGGACAGCAAAGGACCTATAGTGCAAGGCTGCAGCTTACAAATGAGCCAGTTTTCCAGGCACCTGGAGCATCAGGGTCCCGTGAAGCTGTACAAACACTGCCTACTAGAGCACACATTCACAGCCTTTCTTCTTTTTGCCACCATGTGTCAGCCCCTCACAGATCCACGGGCATGCGAGGGCTCAGAGCGTGAGAGACATTCTAGAGCCACCCTGCTCGTCTGTGTGATGCAGGGACACCAGCGTGTGACTGCGAGACATTCATCAGGCGCACGAGTCTCACACTTAGTATGTAAAAATGGCAGGTCTTCTCCTTCCAGCCTCCATTACTAGCTCTCATGGCTCTGACATCCCTTTCTCTGCCTTCCAGGAGAAAGGGCTTTTTTAGAGTTTTTTCCTCTCCACATCCTCATGGCAAGGGGTTCCAGTTTTGTTAAGCAAACAAACAATTGCAGGAGACATAATATAAGAACTCAGTATAACCCTCGAGCTGTTTTATAGAGCCTTTGACCTAGTCCATATGAAGGGATGATGGAACACATTTCAAAGTTGTTAGAAAAATTAGTCGAGGTTTCCAGATTCCCTCCCTCTGCCTCCATGTCTCCAGTTACTCAAAGCCCATAAAGTGTTTTAGAGCTACCTAGCTGTGAAGACCACTTCTGGCTTGACATGACTTCAACAAGGGAAAGTTGATTCAGGCCCTCCATACTTCTTCAAAGAGCACATCGTTCTCTAGGGTATGATCACCAAATGTAGCCATCCATCTAAGGAGAATGACATGTCCTATTGAAAGGGCATGTTGTTCTGTCAGGCTGACCGATGGGTGAGTTAGCTGGGAAAATATTAATGGGATGGCAAGCCTGAAGGCATTACTGTGCTCAGTTACCAAGCAGAGACTAGGATTTAGTTCAAATGTTTTTGCCCTCCCTCCCATTATTACCTTAGTATTTCCTTGAAACAATAAGCTCAACTACAGATAGTTTTTGTGGTGCACACAGTGAAATCCTCTACAGCCCCAGGAAAGCAATCCCCTCCTGGTCATGCATCACTGAGTAATACAAGGCCTAGTAGCACAAGGCATACAAGGCATAGTCTTCCACTTCATTAAAAAGAAAAAAACAAATTCAATTATTTTGTGAGCACTCTT